AATGGGTTCAGGGTATAAAAAGATCGGGATGAGTTATCGATTTTTAATGATAAACTTGATATGCGCGCTGTAATTACGGACATTAAAAAAAATTTAAGTCTCTAGCTCTTATATCTTCTGAAATCGACGCGTTCACATTATACCCTGATTTCCCATTGAAAATGGGTTCAGGGTATAAAAATTCAAGTCTTTAGCTCTGATATCTTCTGAGATCGACGCGTTCATACATATGAACGGGGCTAAATCAACTCAGGGCTAAATCAACTCAGCTYGTCGCGCTGATCAAGAATATATATACTTTGTGGGGTCTGCCACGCCTCCTTCTGCCTGTTACATACTTTTAACAAAACCATTATACCCTGCTTTCCCATTTTCAATGGGTTCAGGGTATAAAAAGCCCTCATATATTGCGACTAAGTTCACAATGGGAATTCTTTTTAGACCTTATTTAAAAAATTATATGTTATTAGTTGGCTTAGTCCTTGTTGAATTTTTCAAAATAAATCTTATAACATTCCTAAACTTTTGACTGGTAAAAATTTAACTAATCTCAAAATGAATATGCAACTTAATGAATTTGATACAGTGATGGAACAGATTGGTATGGACTATTACAGAATACAAGAATACAAGTTATATCCCCAATAATATGTCTCAATAGGTTTTGGAAAAGTTCACTGTTATATTATGCTTACTTTGGGCTTGCTACAGATGTTAACCATACATGAAACAATGGGAATGGGTATTATTGCACCTTCCGCGGTATGCGATCTTCGTATGAGTCTTGTACAGCTGTCGACAATAACAGCTGCGGCTTTTTTGGGCATCATATGTTCTTCTTACTTCTGGGGCTATATTACGGATAAAATGGGTCGTCGATGGATTTTATTACACACTATATCAATTAGTAATTTTTGCTCGATAATTTCAATGTTTATGGTCAGCTTTACCAGCTTTTTTGTAATGCGGTTCCTCACAGGTATATTGTAAGTATGCTAGCTTTTAAGGTTCATCGATTGCTTACTAAAATAATATATGTGTGCAGTGTTGCTGGTCCCAGCTTTGTAGCTGTTACTTATCTCAGCGAATTTTGCAACAAACAAATTTTAGCACGCGCTGTAACACACATGTATATGTTTACAGGCTTTGCAAT